TGTGCTTGGCTTCTTCCTGCTGTAGCCCAGGGAAGTGAACCCACTGTGCCGCACTGGCAAGCTGTTCTGCTCCTGGATTAGCTGGCTGAATCTGTCTCCTAGCCACTCTGTTTGGAGTTCCACTGAAGGGTTCCACACCAAGCCTGACTACTAGCTGAAGGCTGGCAGTTCCGGCAGGGCAAGGGGCCTGGCTGCTGGCTGGAGTTGGTGGGTAGGGGTAGGGAGTTGGTAGGCAGGACGTTCTGGCGGGGTGTGGGGCCTGGATCTTCCCAAGATTCTTTGGATCTTCCTTTCTTTTTCCTTTTCTCAAAGGTAAGGAGCTCAGTTGGCATCCTCAATGGGATAAAGAGAAAAATTTAAGTCTTCACTTCAAGATTGGTTCTACATTATGCCAAAACTTCATATTTCAAGAAATACTTACAAAGTTGAATAACTCAGAAAACCTGAGCATCAGTCTGAAACAATTGAGTGCCCTAGTCAATAGTTGTTCATGCCCAAAATGCATTTATAGTGGTACCTTGGTTCAAACATAACTCATTCCAAAATGCTAGAAAAAATGGCCATGTTAATGTTCATTTGGGAGAGATGGCTGTGAGCATGTTTGTCATCTGATGCACAATTTCCAAACAGAAACAAAATTTTGCCAAATGCTTCTATTTATGAACCAAATTGTTTGCAAACAAAAGCATTCATGAACTGAGGCCCCACTGTAGTTCATTACTATCTGGTTAAACTACTTGATAAAATTCTTCGTAGAATAAAATCATATAATAGAACATAAAAACATTCTAGAGATTGACAGTACTCTGTACTTGTAAGGTGGCATCATCATCATCATCATCATCATCATCATCATCCTTATTAAGTGTTGAAAACATTTATAATTTTAGCCACCCACGTCAGGAGAATTAGATGAAAAGAAAGTGTTTCTGGAAGCTATAACCCCAGTGTGGGACTTTATGTTTGGGGCTAATAGTTGTACATGGAGAATCCATCCTGTTAAATTTCTTTTTCTAGTGTTCATTTATAGTAAATGAAATTGGTTGTTCCCAGAATTAGTGTGTGTGTGTGTGTGTGTGTGTGTGTGTGTGTGTGTGTGCAGGGTCTCACTATGCAGCTCGAACTCATGGTGATCCTCCTGTTTTCAGCCTCCCCAGTGCTAGGATTACAGGCATGCGCCACCATGCCCAGATTTGGTCGCCTGCTCATTGGGCCCATGGGTGGGGCTGGCACAGCATGTGGTGCCAGGGATCCAACTCCAGCTCCTGCACTTGCCTGAGCAAGCTCTTAGTCCACTGAGCTATAACTCACTGGCCCTTGTTCCCAGAATTATTTATTACTCATTTAGATGATTTGGGTTTGCAAGCTGGCAAGCTTCTCCCATCCAATAGCCAACACATAGCACATAGTGTCCCAAGGCTTCAAATGTCTCTGCATAGTGATTCTATTCTGTGTCCAGATACCATGAGACTCGCTATGTCACTATGCCAGTTCCTGAGTTTGTTTGCGTCTCTTTAATAAGTGCTTTAGGAAAATGTAGTTTAGACACCCATGAAAAGAGATCTACTTACTCATTTCTCATACTATTGCATGTTTGTTTTATTCCTAAATATCTTGCCAAAAATAAGTATTTGAAGACTGTGCTATTTAGCATAAATAAGCCAGATACAATCTGATGCCTTTCGAGGAAAGAATATTTTCCCGAAGAGTTGATACCAAAGAAAAATGTTACTCTGAGCTACAGAAATGACTTATGTCTTTGACTGAGTAATCTCCACTTGAGGAAAATTGTCCTCTAGCTTTGTCAGTTGAGCTATATCTCAGTGATCATGGTAGTTTAACTTTTATTATTGTTGTTAAAGTATATTTACATCGCTGTGCAATATGTCTCCAGATCATTTTTGTCTTGCAAAAACTGGAGCCCTCTGCCTACTAGACATTAGGTGGTGTATCTGACTTTTATGAATTCATATAATCAACAAATATGGACAGGTTTTCTTCCACAGTCCATCACCTATCCAGAGAGATTTGTCTCAGAGTGCTGCCTCATTACATCTGCAGTGCCCATCCTGTACTCCTCTGCCTGGTATATTCACAGACCTATACCCCCAGGGTAGTTAGTGACAAAAGCCCACTGCAGATTCCAAAACACAAATGCCCAAATACTGGGTCCATAGGTGCTAAGAACAATGGACAGTCGGGCCAGGGAAATAACGCAATAGAATAAGCACTTGCCTGGCAAGCATAAGGTCCTGAGTTCAATCCCTGGTACCACCAAAAAAAAAAAAAAAAAAAAAAAAAAAAAAAAAATGCACAGAGAGTCTTCAGAAATGCTGCTTTATTGGGACAGTGGATGGACATTCTTGAGAGTGCATGGGTCAGAAAGGCCTGATGATATAATACTTGGGATCCAGGACAAGGAGCATGGGCCATCCTAACACACACTGCATACTCAGTTAATGTCAGTTAATCTCATTCTCAGTAAGAGAGTAAATCATTTTCTCACCACTAGGAAAAAGTACCTGACACCCACAACATAAGGGAAGAAAGGTTTATTTTGACCCACATTTTGTAGGACTTTCAGTCCACAGTCTGCTGACTCTTAGGACACCATGGCAGAGGGTCATCACAGAAGGAAAGCTGCTAACTTCATGGTGACCAGAAAGCAGAGAATGAGAAGAGGACCCAGGAAGGGAATGCACCCTTCCATGTCACACCCCAGTGACCCACCCCTTCCAGTCAGCCCCACCCCAAGCTAAATATAGTATCCCCATAAACTAATCACCTTCTATAAGCCCCTGCCTCTGACCACATGAGGCTTTGGGAAGACATCTTGATAGAAACCATGTCACAGGTCCCTGGTGGCCTGCTACACTCATAGTTTATTTCCTAGGCCAGTATGACACTTCCATCCCAACTATCTTTTTTGGTAAATCTGTAGCCAGTTGAAGAAATTATTGCTTCAAGTTATCTTCTGATTAGAAGAATATGTTCCTTAAGACAATTTGGGAATTTTTAGAATGAGAAATACAAGATGTGAACTAAGAAGCCAATTGGAAGTAACACAGCATCCTCCCATAACTAACAGAATAAGCTAGAGTATCTAAGAAGATCTCAGGAATTACCTATTGATTGTGATGTAGCATTAAGCAGCATAACATCTTATTTTGCCTGCTCAGGAATAAAGGCATTAATCAGTAGAAGAGTAGCTTATACATTAGAGTTTTAAGAATGCTTGGAAGCTAAAATCTTTGTTCTAAGCCTTAATGTGCTACATTAATTTTTTGTTTTATTGGCACATGTTTGTTACATAGAATAATTATGTTATTTTGGAAAACTGGTACCTATGTGTAACATCTTAATCATTTTCAATCCCTTTATCCTCCTTTCTCTCAGCTCCATCTGGTCCTTTTCTCCATCTCCAAGAGTCTTTTTAGAATAGTCTTATCTGAAACATCTAAAATATTTTAGGCTATACATGTGATGAAATGTGTGGTAGGCAGAATAATCCCCCCACCCAAGATGTACACATCCTTGTCACTGAATCCTGTAAGTATTTTACCTTATGTTGGTTAGGGGTAAGGGCCTTGCAGTGATCCTCAGTTATCTGGTTTGAGCTCAGTTTAATCACACAAGCCCTCAGAAGCCAAAAGCTTTTCCTGACTGTGGTCAGAGAGGAATGTGACTAAGGAAGAATAGTCAGAGAGATACATAGAAATCTTTGAAGATGGAGGAAAGACCATGGGTTATGGAATGTGGAGAGCCTCCAGAAGGCCAAAGGGGCTAGGCAATGGTTTGGCCCCTAGGACCTCCAGAGCGGAACATAGTCCTGCCCAACCTGATTTTGGCTCAGGAGGACCCATGTCAGGCTTCCAACCTACACAGTCAAATACTGCAGTAGTAAACCTGTGTTTTAAGCCACTAAGTTTGTGGTCAGTTGATACATCAATAAATAGAAAGCAATTACAGAGTGAATGAGTACAGTTCTTTGAGTGTATGTAATAAAACAAGGATTAATAACTACCATTTATTTTTATTAAAGCCAATTAATAAATCACAAGTAAACCAAATATTTTTTATTCTCAGTGTAGGGATAAGTAAATCTTAGATGGACATCTTTTTCCTATCATCAAAGAAAAAGAAATGGCATTTGGAATAGAAGTAAAGACCTCTTAACTGGCTCAAGTTGCCAAATGCAATTTCAGAGAAGTGCTGTTATTTAGTTTTGTTCTTGACCAGTGTGCTGAGACCATGCACTTTTAAAGCAGTGTAAGGTCACAGCCTGTGGCTTAACACTCACAAAACAGGAATGTGTCTCTAATAGCACAGCAGTTCCAAATTGTTGGGCATGACTTGGAGTAAATCCTCCTGTATTACATTACCCAGCCAGTTCTATTCCACTTCAGCAAGGATAAATCCTGGTCCTAACATGTTTTATGTATTGAGGGATTTAGTTGAAAATGCTATCTTTAAGAGAAATTTTACACCATTGATTTCAACTTCGGCTTCAGGAATTTCCAAAGCAGGAAAGTAATTATTTTTACATTTGATTACCAACCTATACTTATGCATGCATCTACTTTTTGTTTCATAAAGAGGCACTTAAAAGGCACTGGATGAGCTATCTCCTTTTAATCTCTGGCCTCCTCATAAATAATCAGTCCCTTAGTGAATATGACAATATTTTTGTGAATTTTTGCAATTTTCACCTAACCATGTCTTTTCTGCACCTCTTAAAATAATACTCAATTTTACAGAATTAATCCACCTAACATTCAATGAATATTGAATATAAATGTGTGCTGATACATGACAGCTAAATTCTGATGAGAAAATAATGGTAGCATCTGCTGGATTCTAATCATCTTGCCACTTGTGCCTAGATTAGTCTGTATTTGTGTCCTTCACATATAGTGTAGATCTCAAGATTTACCAGTTTAAGACACATCTGTTAAACAAAGAGAAACAAATAATTGCTTTCTATTTTCGCACCCAAACAGTTGCTCCTGATGACCCCAGCAGAAGAATAGATGGTGATACCATAATTTTTACAAATGTTCAAGAAAGATCAAGTGCGGTTTATCAGTGCAATGCCTCTAATGAGTATGGATATTTACTGGAAAACGCATTTGTCAATGTTCTTGGTAAGCTCTTTACTAAAGACAGGGCAAATCAATGACTGATGTTATTTTCTACTCATTCAGCAAAAGTATAAGGAATAGATGAAAGTGAGTAAGGTACAAACCTTGCTCTAAGAATATTACAGCCTGGTCTTCGTGTTCCTTCATAACAGGTTTTTATAATGACACATTCTTTGTTGCAGAAATAATCAGCTAGGCTCTTCCATTCACAGATGGTTACACTGTGTCAAATCCCTCCAAAGGAAAATAACATTTGTCTGCTATTTGCAAGTGAATATTATTTCTCTTCCATTCTTAGAAACTAATTAAGTTTGATAACAATTTTTATGATTCTGATTTTTTTAAATAACACTAATCATAATGTTTGGTCTTTATCCAAGTTGGAGGTGTACATTTGCTGAATTTATCAAAATATGTTGAGAATACATGGCATAATATAGGTCTCAAGCATATCTTAAATATTTAGCCTATGTGAATGTTGTTTTTTGGTTTTTGGTTTGTTTTTTTTTTCCCAGAACTGGGGACTGAACTCAGGCTTTTGTGCTTGCCAGGGAAGCGCGTATTCCACTGGCCATCTCCCCGGCCCAACATTGTATTTCTATTACTAGGGAAAACTACCCTAAAAGCATATGTATGAAAATTTATGCAAGAATTATATGAGATTACACTTCAACTCTTTAGTATTTGTATATGCTCCTTTCAGATTTAACACTAGGAAGTCAACCATACTTGATATTTTTCCTTTATGTTTGAAATCAAGGTCATCAATCACCTGAGGAGCTAACCAGTTAAATACTGGTGGAGGTTGAGGAAGTAGTTTGCCTTCTGCTTTCATTTTTTTAGTCTTCTCTGAGTTGTACTTGTTTAGGTTCCATATATGTGAGATCATGCAGTGTTTGTCTTGCTGGATCTGGCTTGTTTCATTCAACGTAATGGTTTGTCCATGTTGTCACAAACAGCAGAATTTCTTGTTAAGGCTGAAAAATTATCTATTATCTTTTTTATAGTAGTAGTCATTCTAACAGGTGTCAGCTGAAAGGCAAGTCATTGTGGTTAAAGTTTGCATTTTTCTGATGATTAATAATATTGAGCTTTTATTTTTTCATATACCTATTGGTCATTTGTATGTCTTATTTTGAAAACTGATTATTTAGGTCCTTTGGCCATTTTAAAAAATCAAGTTGTTTCCTACTATCATTCATTGAACTGTTTGAGTTCCATGCATATTTTGGATTATTACTCCCCATTTCAGATGTATGGTTTGTAAATATTTTCTCCCATTCCATAGGCTGTTTCTTTGGTTTGTTGTTTCCTAGCTATGGGAAACTTTTTAGTTCCCTCTGCTTTTCAGTCACTAAACTCACTTCTCTACTGCTTTTCTCTGGTTCATATGTTCCCCACAATTCCCACCTACTGGGGTAGTGATGGATCAGTCATTCAGCAAAAATACATTTGGCTGTTATTCTTTTTTTTTTTCAGAACCGGGGATTGAACTCAGGCCCTTGCACTTGCCAGGGAAGTGCTTTTTCCACTGAGCCATCTCCCCGGCCCCTTGGCTGTTATTCTTGTGTCAGGCACTGTTCTCTAGTCAAAATGATTAAAGGGGTCACATTCCTGGGTGTTGCAAAGTGCTTACAGTGTTGAAGGAGATACAGATAAGTAAATCAGTAATTAGACATTGTCTGAGTAGGACAGTGAACATGAGGTAGATGGAGTGAAACCATGTTTTCTGTACCTTGAGTGAGTGGTGAGTACCTGATAGGGAACATAAGAGAAGAAAGAAGAGACACGTTAGTTTTACTTTACTATAATACTTAATCACCTTAAAATAAAAAGCACAAATACACCATAAACCTAAAATGTGTCCTAATATTTACTGTATCTTTCAAAATCTTTTTAGCTGAGCTCCCACGAATCCTCACATCTGCAAACACACTCTACCAGGTCATTGCAAACAGGCCTGCTTTCCTAGATTGTGCTTTCTTTGGGTCTCCTCTGCCTACCATTGAGTGGTAAGTAATGACCTTATGTGTTTTTTAATACTTATATTTGCTAAAATCTTCACATTTCTAAATATATTGAGTTTTAGTCAAAGAACAGATAGAAATGCAGTGCATAACCATCGTGCTGTCAATTACTGAATTTACAAAGCTATATGTAAACGGACTTTTTTTTACCTTAAGACTATTGTATTTTACAATGTCATAGACATTACCAAGGACTATGTGGCTAGTAGCTAGAGGGACTGGTTGGAATACTTTCCTTGATAATAAAATATCCTGAGGAATGAAGAAGAGGATCGAAAAGTTCAAACACAGAATTAGCTGTCATGAATGTCTCCCTTTTGTATCTCACCCTCCAGACCTTTGTGACTTAATCCAGCCAACCTTTCAAGTGTCCTTTTACTGCCCCTGTCAGACCACCCCCTTTACACACCATTCCTGGTTCAAGTCCTCTACCTGTGGGCTTGATTTTAAAGAGCTGGGAGAGGTTTGGCGAGGATAGACAGGTGAAAGCCAATCAAAACAGTCATTTATTGGTCATCCGTGAGGTTCCTGATGCTGGGTTTTGACTATTTGGATGAGAATGAACACAGGTTTAAGATGAAAGAAAAGTCTCCCCATTTCCCTACCTTAACCCCTGAGCAGAGAAACAGGAATGTTTCCATAGACTTCCTACTTTTGGTGACAAGATTAACAATTAGATAATACGTTGACTTTGCCTCATCCCTTATTGTCTGTCTTTCCTTCTCCCCTCTGATATGCGTGCTTTTTCCCCCTTCCCTGAATACTTTCCTAGTCATCCTTTCAAAATACAATCCATATAGCATTAAAATCAAAATTCTTTAAATCTGCAATCTGTAGGTAGAATTACCAATCCACCACAGTTTGTAAAAAAGAAAAAAAGCAGTCTCTGTTCTGTCTATTTAGGATAAAATAGTTAATAATGTGTTTATTAAATATGGCTCTCATAAAAATCATAACATTATGTATTATGAGTACAATTCTAAAAACACCATTTGTTATTGATTTCTCCAGTTTTCTGTCTTGTCATTTATTTACCTCCCAACATACAAGTATGTAAGGTGCTTGTACAAATTCCAAATGCCTTTATATGTGACACTTCAATATAGACCATAGTTGTGTTGATCTTGGATATGACATTTTGTGTGACTTCAAATTATGAAGTGTCTTATTCTCATCATATTGGGTAATAAAGGTTTAAAGGAGCTAAAGGAAGTGCTCTTCATGAAGACATTTATGTTGTACATGAAAATGGAACTTTAGAAATTCCTGTGGCCCAGAAGGACAATACAGGAACCTACACATGTGTTGCCAGGAATAAATTAGGGATGGCAAAGAATGAAGTTCACTTGGAAATCAAAGGTAATACATTTTTTTCAAGTGTTATGTAACTTTGAGTGAATTCTCCAGATTTACCAACTGGAAAATTATTTACTCCAAGTTACTTACCAACGGTTAATAACTTTGAACTTCAGATCCAACGAGGATCATTAAACAACCGGAATATGCAGTTGTGCAGAGAGGAAGCACAGTGTCTTTTGAATGCAAAGTAAAACATGATCACACCCTAATTGCCACTGTCTCATGGCTGAAGGACAATGGTGAGCTGCCCAATGATGAAAGGTATTTGAAGATGATTTCTTTCTTTTGTTGTTTTCTCTGAAAACTGTTTTGTTTTTGTTTTTGTTTTTGTTTTTGTTTTGGTGGAACCGGGGATTGAACTCAGACCCTTGAGCTTGCCAGGCAAGTGCTTATTCTACTGATGAAAACTGTTCTTGAGCTGAAGTTTGATTGTGTAGTGATTTAAGGGTTATGTAAAATAAAGAGGTACGCTTTTTTTCCTACTGTACTGTATTAGGACCTAAGAGGATATTCATTGATTGAAATAAGACCCTGGGAATGTTTGTCTTCTTTATGTGTTGTTCTGTGTAATTTGAGATGGGGAAAAAACCCTTCAGGCTTTGGACAGCGTCCATTGTTTTGCACCTTGAACAGTAAAATCTCAACAGATGTTTTTATTTCCATTCTACAAATAAGCAGAAATATGATCTCTTTAATTATGAGTGTACCTGAATTCTTGCCAGTATTTTAAAAGGCACTCATTTTTACTTGGACAGTAACTTTTCTTTTGATTTCACCTAATGCCAGTGGAAAGGGAAGGAAAAGCAAAAACAAAGCTTTTAAAAGAATCTGAGCATGCTACAATCACTTAGCTTGCAATGGAAGAATGGCCATAGCATTTTTCAGCAAGGCCCTCAATTTGACATAGTAATCATGGCAAGTACACAGAGTTGGATGTGTGATTTCAGCAATCCCAGTAATTACAGGTGTTTCCGCATACTAGGAGTGCTGTATTTTGTTTTTGTTTTTGTTTTTTTACTTTGCCCAAATTGTTTTTATTTTATTTTATTTTTTCCATAATTTTATTGAGAAACAAATAGCAATGAAACAGTTTCAAACCAAATTGGTAGGACAGTTTCAATAATTAACACATTGCACACATTCTTCCTAGTGGTTAATTGCTGTACAAGTTGCGGACATGAGATCCTATTTACAAACACCATTAGAACAAATCTCTCTATTCATTAAGAAAATGTAACTATATGTCTATCCTAACCACTTTGAATACACAGATACAAAATGGACATTCATCTGTATGCCCTTTTCTTGTTAAGTTCCATCATTTAAATATTATAGGTGTGTAAACTCAGCAAAATATTCTAAAAGAGTTAAGTAGTCCATAATAGTATTGGGTCTTCTGCTTCACTGGCAGTGTCAGAAATTGTTGACCTGAGTCCCCTACAGCTCAACATAACAGCCTGGCTTTACTTCTTATACTTCATTTTTATACTTTTCTGCTGGAT